ACTTAAAAAATGAAATTGAGAAGAGAAATATTGATGAGTTACGTGATAGTTAGTTCACAAATGCTATAGTTTGAGTGGATACTTATCATCAAAAGCTCTCAAACATTTTCTTTATGTATTTATCCACAAAAGAGTTTTGTTAAAAAGTGTCTTGTTATAATAATGATGTATTCAACTTTTGGAAATGTTGTCATTTTCTTTTCGTATTTTATATGAATTGAACACTCACAAGGATGCAGGTCCACAGAGACAACACATGTTCCCCATCAGAGCTTCACAAACAAGAAGTAATTTTGCTTCTAAATTCTAATGGGACCCGATCTGCTTCCTTTCCTTCTCTAAAACTCAATTGTTAAAATAAAAAAAGAAAAGAAAAACAACACATTGCAGTGCGTGGCGTTTCTAACAAATGATTTTGCATCTCACCAAATGACCACTGAGAAAAATGGTCATACGAGATTATAAAAACTTCACCTTTTGCATTTTTAAATCTAAAAGGTGTAGCAGTTAAAAACTTAAAAGGGTGCCTTTGTTGACACCAAATTTCGTTAGGTTTTTTTTCTAAAATAAATCGTGTGCCTTGTACGTAATTTGTGTTTGAGATTATTTAGGACATTTTAACTCTCCATTGCCTTCTAAAAAGTTGTCTTCAACGAAAAAAAAAATCTAGAGCTTCTACAAACTACAAAATAAAAATGACTATACAATGGAATAATATTTGTTGTTCTAAAACAAAAAGGAAGTTTAGTAGAATGACATGATATAATTATGGTCGAGTTTCTCTCTAACAATATAGTGCTCAAAATATATAATATATCACATGTTACTGAAGTATAGTTGTCCTCTAAAATAATGGTAATCATCAAACTTACATTGTTTTTACAAAGTTAAAATGAGGTCAAATGTCCATAATAACTCTAAACATAGGTCATGTGTAGTACTTTGGATAGAAAATTTAACGGTGTTAAGATGAGATGATAAATTAACGATTTTGAAAAGTTGATATGAGACATATGACAAATTAAAAAATATGTATAAATTCATGTGACATTTCAAATATTAAGTACGAGGTAAACCCAGTGTAGTTTTAACGTAACAATTTTGTAAGTACACCCATTTAACCTCCTCTACTTGACACGTGCCACTGCCCATTTAACCCAATATAATTTTAACTAAGCAATCCTGTCAGTATTTGACTTTGATTGGTTTAACATTTGAGATTGTAAGTCGATCATTTTAGTCAGCTTCTCATTTTATTCTAAGTGAAACATTATACGAGATTAGCTCTCTAGTGGAGTCACATGATGCAAGTGTTCACCCTCGACCATGAAGAAGAGGATCAACTCTTCAAGGTGACACCTCCTTGGTTTATCAAGAACAAAAAGGGTACAAAACAAACTCGAATTTACAAACAATTGCATTTTTCTTTCTAATTTAACATCGATCATCTATAATATTCTTTTAAGATCTCTTCCAATAAAGTAAAGACTAAATGAAGTAACCACAATCGACGAATCTTTAACCTAGATATTCACTTATGATGTTTAAGCATAAGATAAAATCTTCATCATGAAGTCATTGCATTTGATATCCAAATAGATTCCATCACTGGGCCATATGGTATGAATAGACAAATCACATCTATATATCCCATGCTTTGGTTATGGCAGAAACATGGTCCCAAGATACATACATTTCATGAATATGGATGGTCTTCTTCATCATTGCTTCAACCCCTTGTCTCTGATTTTTAAGTTCATAATTTTGGCATCTAACAAACGCTCAACATTATCAATTTGCTCTTAGGTTAATGGTTGTTTCCAAGGGCGGAGCTAGAAACTTTTTTTAGCAGGGGCGGCCTTCTTAACCTCCAAATTTGAGGAAAAAAATTCACGATAGTAGAATTTTTTTCTATAATTCCATTGCTTTTCTTTTTTTATCAAATTTCATTAAGCCAACTTGTAGACTTTTTTTTTCACAATGATAGCTTATTATACGTATTATTTCAAAATTCTAACTAAAGTACATAAATATGATAAATTTTAATTCTGTAAGCATCCTTATTTTTTTTTGCCTCCATAGAACTTTAGTTGGGGTAGTTGCTCTTAGTAGGTCTTAACTGCCTTCGTCCTTGGTTGTTTCTGATATCAAAAAAAGCTTTAGATTTGAATTTTCGCTTTTCTGTGAAAAAAAATTAAAAAGAAATTTTGAAAAGGTAATTCGATTGTATCCTTTCATAAAAATGTTGAAATTCTTTGATATGTTTTAATTTCTTCCATGATACCATAGTTTTGAAGCTTGTCTAGAATTATAAGGTAAAAAAGGATTTAAAAAAAAAAAAAAGTATGAATGGGAAGTGGTTAGGAACATCACCGTTGGAAAATGTGTCAGGGTAGAGTTTATATATTTTTATAAACTCCTGGCATGCAAGCAAAGTTTTCACCTTTTTTCTTCCACTGTTCTTTTATATATACTAAGGGGACGTTTGTTGCGCCGGACTATCTCGAATTGGATTAGGTTCAAGGACTAAGCTGGACTGGCTTAGACAAGACTAAACTGGACTAACTTAGTGAAGTGTTTGGTGCAGTATTGGACTAAGAAGCTGGATAATAACAAATTATAATATTATATTATTTAATATATAAATTATTAATATTTTATTATGATCTTATCTTTTTCTTCATCTTTTCCTACCATTTCCGTCACACTCTTTTCCTCTTCTCTCATCGTCCCACCCTCTCCCTCTTTTTTTCGTCTTAGACCTCTCAATTCATGTCTCTTTCTCATTCCTGGTCAAACTCCTTATTGATTGCAGTGTCTATTTCTCTGTCCTCCCTCCCTCTCTAGCTATGTGTTGTTCGAATGGAACCTCACGGCTCCAATTTCCGACAAGTTGCAGGTTTCCCGATGTGTTTTCCGGCTAACCCTCGTTAAATTGGATGAAGTTAGCACCGCCAAAAAATTCATCACCATCCCTAGACCGAGATCTTAGCTTTGAATGCTCAAATCTGTCATGGATTTGAAGAAGCCCAAACAGGCCGAGACTTCTAGGCCATTTTCCGGCCACATTCGACCACATTTTGACCTCTATTCAGGTAAAATCGTAATCTTGTCACTCCCAGCTTCAATTTGGTATATTTTATATGAAAGTTGGTTGTGAAATGGATTTGAAAGGGAGTCGGAAGGTTAATGATTGATCTAGGTGACCGGAGATGACGAGGAGTCTATTGGGAGTGGTTGTTGAGCATGACGAGGACGACAAAGAGAGGATAGTCTTAGCTAGTCCCATGGTTATTGGGGGGTCTCGCTAAGACCTTTTAGTGAAGGGTTTTGTCCATACTAGTCCCGTTTAATCTCATTAATGTTAGTCCCAGCATGGAACAAACACAGTATTGGACTAATAGCTAGTCCAGTCCAGTCCAATCCAACTTAGTGAGGGCAAACAAACGCCCCCTTAACGGATTTGGATTTCATCGTATCCAAATGGTTGGGATTTCAGAGATTTTTACATTTTAATTATTTATTGTATGTTGTACAATTATAAATTATTTAATTATTTAATTTAAAATTAAATAAAAAGAGTACATGATGAAAACTGATCACACAATATACAACAAATGATTAGGATATGAGAATCTTTAGAATCTATAAAGGATCCAAGAGAGCATTCTCATCCTATATTCCTATGTTAATCCCTTTTGATGAAATTTATAATTTTTATATTCGTAGTGGAGAAAAGCTCATCAACTTTTCTATATTTAAATAGCTTCATAATATAATAAAATAAAATAAAAAATTTGTCAAAAAAAGGAAAATATTATTGAGTTCCTTGTTTTAAGGGCATGTAGTAAGTGCCACAAATCACAACCTGTGTCCATAAAGCAGGTTGACTTGAACTTTAAGAAAAGCTAGCTTATGAGTTGCTTCTTTTTGTTATATATATATATATATATATATCATGTTCCTCAATTTAGGGAAGTAAGATTCTCTCCCTTCCTATTTTTATCCCTTTCCTTTCCCTCCTCTCATACATTATTTTTTATCTTATTTTCTTTATGAAAAAATCAATATAAGATGATGACATAATTTAACCGTAACTGTTTAAGTAGGAAGGAAGAGAAGGAGAGAGAATCCTCTTCCCAATTTAGGGACGCTGTAAAGCATGATAGCTTTGACAGGAGATGCTTATGTTGTTTTCTGTTTGGCGATTGCCTTTTTTAGGAAGATTTTGTTATCTACTTAGAGGAATTCAGTGTTTCAGAGCACTCCGTGCTAACACAAATTTTTAACATCGTTTCAATTAGTATGTTACTGACCCAAACACAACACTAGTGCTCCAAGCATCTAGGTTATAACTTTGAGGGGTCCCAGTGTAGAGGCGCAATTTTTTTAAGGGCATTTTGTCCAGCATTTGGTGGGCCTATTATTGTCTACGAGCCATGATTTGTGCATGTCAACTGCTAAGTGTTGCTAAGTGCCCCTGCCGAGACCCCTTGCCCGGTCTTCTCGACAGTGCCTCGTACCAAACATTCAGAGGACACTAGACAGACCTTCACTTGTGTTTCGTAGGCTCCAGTGGGTCGTGGGATTCCATGGTCCCCATATGGATCGGCCCATACACACAACAGTTCAAACTGCAGTTGTGACGAAAACTTGAATTTATATGCTGAACCTAAGTTACAGATTATGAGCTCACTCCTGACTCCTCCCCATCACGATACAATCTACACAAGATGGCCATTATCAACGTCATGTTGGGCCACATAATTATAAAGATAATCTTGCAGACTACGTATGACACGGAGAATGCTATCGTCAACCACCACGTGCGCAATTCATATGTCAATAAATAAAATTGAATCTTAAGCGACTGACGCTAACAATCCATGCCAGCCTCTGAAACTGAGAATATAGTCACGACAAAAACAATTGCGATTTTCTATCCATATAAACAAGAGCAGAGGAAGAGAAAAGACTCTCGATTCACAAACCCTCGCAAGAAAAAAAAAATGTGAACTTGATTACATAGAAAAAATTGAGTGATATGCGTACCACAATCCCAACTCTGTTTAATTATACAGGGAACTCTAGTGCTTATGCGCGAGAGAGAGAGAAATGCTAGCAGCGTGGACAAGAACTTTATGTGAAAAGTATAAAAAGAAAAAAGAATTGGCATAACAAACAATCTGAAGGCGGCGTCTATCACGAAGAGGGACCAAAATCTGCTGTCTGATACGAAGAGGGATCAAAATATGCTATCACGAAGAGGGATCAAAATCTGATGCAGCTGATTTGTAAGCCGAGATGGGCTGATCGATTTCCTTACGAGATGCTTCCCAAAGTTGCTGTTCTATCCCCAGCTTCCTCAGCTCATACAAACCCCGCTCCACTGCCACAAGTAAAGCACTTATACGTTCATTTACAGCAACAACATTAGATAGAAACTACAGAATTCGCAACACAAACAAGGTTCCCAATCTACGTATTTCTATTTCTCCGTTTAATTCCAGTCAAGGTCATGGCATTATTTTAGCAATTCAACTAACGAATTCATTGATAGCCCATCATTAATAAGAATGCCTTCAATTAAATACAGGCAAGGCCAGCTGGCCTGATGAGTGCCACTGTTGATTGATATTTGGTAATGAAGAAAGCTTACCATCCACGGCATCATGGCAAGTTGGTGTCTGTGCACTGTGGCTTATCCATAGCTGAAGCCGGTCGTCTGCAATATCGTCTTCCACACCATGTACTTTAGCTCTTCTCCAAAAGTAAGTCAGCCAAGCCTGCGATGTCAACGGAGTACTCAAACAATGTCAGCATGATAGCAGAACGAGAGCATATATGGGATATTCAAGGGGGTAAACCAACTGACCACTTTGAAAGAAATATCTTCAATTTCCTCATCACTAAGATCTGCAAGAAAAGAAAGATGGGATAGTGATAAAGGTAATTGCCATCAGTTTAAATCTATCTATAAACTGGGTGTGTAATACAACATAATTTTATCAGATGACTTAACTTTAAGCAGGTAAATTTTGAACTACTTGCTTGGTCTTGGATATTCCCCAAAACACACCGTGTGTTCACTTTTTTAGGTCAAAAACGTGTGATCGCTTTTGGGCACGGGGAGGGTGAAGAATATAAAGGGTCTCATAATATGATAAACCATTCTCACATGCAATTTTTTTTTCTGTTACTAGTAAACTTTCCCCAATATTCCTTGTACCAAAATTAAACTCCGGAAGCAAAAAGGTTCGATTAAAAAATTTCGACATAGGGTCGAGGTCACCTTTTCTAGTCAATCACATGCCTTCGCCTAACCCCACCTAAAACAAAACGGCCAAACTTATACTAATCATAAGTTACAAGGAAAAGTCATCACGAAAGATGGAGGCTTTGAGAAATAGTAATACAAATATTTTCTTGTATGATTAAGATTTGTGTGCGTTGAGATTCCTTAATTTCAGCATAAATAATAGATATGAAGACACATTGTGCAACAGATCAAAATCTCTCTCTTACCAAATGCCTCCATGAACTTAGGGTCGCCAGGTGATTTGGAATCTGAAATTCAAATGAAAAGTAAGGTAAGCATTTTTTATGAGATTCTTTCTGCTCCGGTCCTTAAAAACCCTTGGACAACTCTACAATAGCCAATATGAAAGAGTTTGAAAGCAAGAACAAAATTGTTGCGCCAAACAGCATTTGAACTATTAAGCATATGGATGTAACTATCAGAATAGTTTAACAAAAAACCATAATCAGAATCACTACAAATTAATTATATTGCCAAGAAATGGTTATAGTTTAAAATCAAGAATATGAAAGGAAAGAAGTACAGGGCATATGACTGAGAAAAAGACTTAACTAATTAAGTCCATTTTCTCCACAACATCTTCGAGCTATCGTATGAAAGAAAACATATAGTTCGACACATATTTTCACATTAAAAATAGACAACCAAGCGTGAAAAGAATGGAAGGATAAGATCATGCAATAATAAAGTTCACTTCTGTCCCAGAAAGGGGGAGGAAAAAGAACTCTAGAATAACATAGACAATTAAGAAAAATACCTAAAATGGACTGCCGAACGGAATTAGGACGTATATGTTTGGCCAATGCAATCGCAACAGCATCCTCAACCTAAAAGAAATGCAGTGCAGAAATTAGAAGTTGAAAGCCAGATAATATATAAAGTATACATTGTTTTAAAGAAGAATACAAAGATTTATATGTCAAAGATTAGAAATAGACCTTTAGAGAAGATAGTTCCCTCATACCCATTTCCACTGAAAGCATACTCTCAATATTTCCTTCGCCGGTAAGGTCAGTTAAATCCCGTGCCAGCTTACTTCTATCTGGATCATCACCACCTGGTACACATCATACAGTACAAAATTTTAATTGAGTGCATCAAATGAAAAACCAAATTAGACAGAACAAAATCGTCTTCTTTGATATAAGGAATGAATAAACCAACTTTTTCCCCAAGATTCCTCCTTTGCCTTTTGTCCAGCAGAAATGACAACTTCAAAGGGAAGAGGAGCTAACGACGACCAGTGCTCACGCTTTGACACTGCTATATCTGCACATATGCCTAAGCACAAAAGAAAACAGCAAATAAAGCAAAATCTAACTAATTATAAATCCACAAATTGATTCATTCAAATCCATATTCACATATACACATGTATAAACACACTTCACCATACACTTTCTTGATGTTATGACCATGATGGAATAGACAATTTTGAAACTAACCAAATCTCCAAATAAAGTGCAAAATTCCTCAGGAAGCTGAGATATCAGATTTAGGCATGCAATTTATATCCTCATTCAGGAAGGAGAAGATGGTAGGAAATAGAATACCATGTTGCACAGCTAAACCCCAGTAACGAGCAAGCCAACATCTCTTCAAAACAACTTCCTCCTAAAAGATGGATACGGAAATAAAACTTAATAGTATGAACAGATAAAAAATAAATCTCACTCAAGTTTCAGTAGACAAACCATCTCTTCTTGAGTTAAAATCATTCTTTGCGTCTTTGTACGAAGAGTCCTTGCTTCAGATTCTGCTTCTCGAAGCTGTTCAACTGCTGCTGTAGCCCCGTCTTTTAAATTCTGATTTTAACAAGAGAATAAACTCATGAAGCTATCACATAAATCAGAAACACATGATTAAGATCTAAAGAATATACCTCAATATAAGATCTAAAGAATATACCTCAATTTCTGAACGAAGAGTTGCAATTTCCTCCTCTTTCCCATCCTTGTTTTGCTTGGCAGCGAGAAGAGCAGCCTGAACAATCAATAATTTTTGGTCTAAAGATAGCCACTACGTCATTTTTAATGGAACAAGTTTCAATCAATAATTTAACCTCCCCACTTACCTCTCTTGAACGCAAAGCTGCTTCCTTCCTGCAGATGAATCATTTAAATAATCACAACCAGGATATCAAATAATAGCAGAACTGATGCAAAACAACTCAACATTACCTGCTCAACAATTTGGCTTCCATGCTTACACCTTCACCCAGATTAGCAACCTGTATTGAACATAAAAAAAGCTGAATCAGCACCGCTACCTTCTTTGTAGCAAACTTAAGCTAATATTGTCAAAACTATAACACTATGTTTGGATGAGGGAAATAAACTTGCAGTTTGGACAATAGACAGAATTTATAAATTGACACACACCAATTACCTTGTTTTGATTCATACAACAACAACAAAGCCTTATCCCACTAAATGGTTGATTTATAAACATTGAAATTTTAAATTTCCGTGTGGAAAAAAAAAATTGGAATTAGGGACCTCCAATTCCCAAGTTTAAATTCCATGTAAATAGGTGTCATTTCCAAATTTCTATGATTCAGAGTCTAAAAAAAAAAAATTAAAAAAAAAAGCTCAACCATGAGTTGACACCGCCACCACCGCCCACCCACCATCATCACCACCATTGTGGCTCCTGCCACCACCACATACCGTTGTGGCCCCCGTCACTGCTGCCGCCACCAACCACCGCCATCACCACTACTCACATCATCACCCCCGCCGCCACTACTAGCACATTTTTTATACACACATTAAATTCCGTATCAAATTCCATTGTTCTTTTAAATTAACCCAACAAGAAAATTCACAAGTTCTAGAAAATAAAATTCTATCATTTTAGAATTCCTTAATAATCTTAAATTTTCTCATCCAAACACAGTGTAGAGTAACATATAAGGCATGATAAAAGGAAACATCTGATTTTTAAAGGGCAACATTTCTGATTTACAAGCTATACAGTTAAATCAAATATGAATAAAAGGATTGACCTGTTTCTCAAGTTCCTTTGCTCTGGCCTCTGCTTGCGCATGTTTTTCTTCAGCAAGGCGAAGCTGTAATGCATATTTAGGCATAAATTTCACAAATAGAATATAACGAGTCATGTTCTGTGCATGCGTGGTTATGAATGTATGTCTGTATTATGATGTAGAGTATTTGCATAAGCTTGGGTGTATTAGAATGTATAAGAGCACACCTTCTCGAGTATAATCTCATTATCTTCTTGTAGCATATCAAGCTGCAATTACAGTACATGTTAGTTTCAAGACTATTTCTTAAAAACCAACACTTAAGGTTCCGCAAATACCAATCTTAAATTCAATTGTAGTGATAAACGTATCCTTAAATACAGGTAAAGGTTATCAGCATCTGTTATGAAGACAGAATTTGAGGGACGAAAATGACATACTTCATCACGAAGTGCAGAAGCCTCACGCTCATCTCCTGGGGCTTTGGGGTTTAACTGTCCAATATCTGGCGTAAACCTGTCCCGGTAACAAATTAAATATATTAGCTACACATACTTCCTAAACTTTGATAACATCAACTAGCTACAACAATGCAAGTGAGAAATAGATATCTTCGGAACTTGCCTTTTATCTCTATTCCTAGTAGGAGGATCAATTGGAGGTATGGTTACCGGAGTTCTAAGCGAGGGTTTGCTCAGCGGTGGCACTACTGCCGCTGAACGAACTGATATAGAGGGTCTCCCTGCTGATGTGGAACGAACCGATGTTGTATGCTCTACAAAGTTCCTACCTAACTAATTAAAATACCAGAGTTCAATCAGCCATAAGATCACCACATGCAAATCCTCTTACAAGCTTACTAATAGAAAGTTAAGTCAAAATAATTAACTTAACACTAATTAAGAACAAGGCAATAACAAAACTCTAGCAGGAAAAATAATTTAAGTTCAATTCGACTCGAATTTAACTAAAATCTCTATAAAATTAAGCTCCTTCTCAATCTAAACACAACGAACTAAGCACAATTCAGATCTTAAAACAGCATTAACGAAATTAAACTAAATAAATAAATAAAAACTTCAATTCCACTTAATTCAGATCACGCAATTATCAGCGTAGATTCTGAATTACCGCAGGAGACGGAGATCTATTAGGCCGAGTAACCGGAATCGCCGGAAGAGGCTTTGCGCCGTTAGTAAAACCATTTCCGGACAAAGAAGACGGTCCATGACGCGGCTGAGCGAATTGGAAACCGAGATCATCGTCGTCGTCTTCGTCATCGCCGGTGGACTGAGAAGCCATGACCTGAGCTAGCCGCTGAGCCGCGGCTTTAGCGGCGAAGTTTTGATTTCGCTTGATGGTGGAGATTCCGGTGGCCGACGGATTAAGCCGGGAGTGAGGGTGCGCCGGGGACATCGCCGGAGAAGAGCCTGCGCTGCTCGATCCTCCGCTCCACTGGCGCGAGTACCCCGGACTCGCAGGTCTCCTCCGATCCATCTATTTATGTGTATGTGTGTGTATTGCTGTGAAATGAAAGCTGATATTTTCTCGAGAAATTTTTCTCGAAGTTAGATTTTCTCGAGAAAATCGAAGGAAAATCGGGGGGTGGACTGAGGGAGACGAGAGAAATAGGGGAAGGTGTGTTTCCCTTTTGAGTTCGGGGGTCAGCGACGGAAAATTTTTAGGTGTACCGGGTACACCAAATTTTTTTGGTGTACCCTCACTCATTAAATTTTTTTTGGTGTACAAAAAGTGAGGGTGCACCAAATTTTTTTGGTGTACCCTCACCATTATGAGTGAGGGTACACCAAAAAAATTTGGTGTGCCGGGTACACCGAAAAATTGCTCGTCAGCGACAGGTTGTGTGGGGTTGAAATGCGCATTGCTGTGTGCTTAAGAGCAAAACGGCGGCGTTTGTGCGTTTAATTGACGTCGAAGCACGTTTCGCGGGAGCCGGCGGTGACGTGTCAAATGAGGAGGCGTGGGCCCGAAACTTTGGTGGCGGCCGATGCCAGATATTTCGGATAATGACTCATTTCGTCGGCGATTTCGGACACGTAGACTTTTTGCTCCGGGGCAAGGACTAACGTTGGGACGAGACGAGGTTCATGAAACGTTGACGTTTCCTTGCGGAGAAAGCTTTGGACAATGAGTTGTTAAGACTAAATAATTAAGATTTATTTATCCAACCGCACCCACCTACTCGGAAGAGCGAAGTCAAGTCACAATTATGCCTCAGAGAAAATCGTTGTGTTGGATTTCTGTGGTTGATTGATAAAACTAAAGTCAATCAACAGTCCACGATTGTTTTTAATTCATTAAGATATATTTTTAATCGAGCTTGATTAATCAAGTTTAACAGGCAGTCATGTATTGTCTTGGATGCAATTCATAGATCAAAGTAAAACTAATATTGTAATATTTTTCAATTAATGGTTTCGAGTTGTTTTCTTACATTTAGACATAGCGACGTATCCAGAATTTTGATTTCGGAGTCTAAATGTAAAAGGTTATAAAAAAATGGATGAAAATAACATTGAGAAATTAAACAACAACATTCTTCATTCATAAATCATGGTAAAGCACAAGCAACTTTGACGAGAGAGATTTATCTACTCCCATACATCATCTTATCATTTCAAACTAATAACGCAGTGTCATTTAGAGAAATAAACATAATGTTATTTGTTTATAATGCCACGTGGACGTATTAAGAGATAAGTTAAATCCGTCTTAACTACAAGGGGTGGATTAGTCCAACGTTTAGTTACTTTCTCTTCAACCACTGCATTTCAAGTTCAAACACATTGTAAATTAGTATATACTATCGTTTTCCTTAATAAAATTTCCGTTTCCAACTTTGACACTGCCGGAATTATGATAAGCTCTATTTGTTCACAAACATCAAACCAAATTCAATTCAATTCCAGAACTCGGAAACCAACCTCACCAAATCAAACAAGAAAAAGTCGCAAATTAAACCAATGAGCACATAGTTAACTAAAAGGCAGGAGTTGGAGCCGCCGCTGGGCGCTTCTCGTCTCCCTGTTGCCGTCGTCTGATTTGGGTCCAGAAACAAAAGAAAAGAAAACTGGTGAGATCTGATCCTTCACATGCTTAGATCTCTCTCATCCGCAGGACCACACCTCCGTGACGTTCCTCTGAGTTCTCGTTCCTCAGCATCCGCGGCCTCCTCAACTACCTCCGATCGGTCGCCGAGTCCGATTCCACCATCAACCTCTTCTCTCTGAGTTTCAAGTTTGTTCAGAGATCTGCTCCACCGCGGCTTCCGAGTCAGATTCCACCATCAACCTCTTCTCTCCTCGAGCTTCAAGGTTGTTCAGAGATCTGCTCCACCGCGGCTTCCGTTAATTCCGCCGTCAGAGATCTGCTTCGTACTGATACTGCCGTGAGTGACTTCTGTGGTGGCTAATCTTGGCCCTAATTTTATTTTCTCTGCTCCTGGTCTACCGGGTAGCAGAGAAAAACCTGAATCGATTGGTATGAAACGAATTCGTACCGACAACCAGCTTGAGCGAGAGGTGTCCACGATGGATCCTGCGACCAACTCTCCTCTGGAACCACTCCCAAAAATGGACTTCAAGGCCAAATTGATGGGTCTTGTAGATGCTAACCCACAGATGGAAGGGATTCCAGGTGAGGAGACTGACCAATTTAAAATTGGAGATGGGGATTTTGAAACCTATGAGGAAACACTTGGACCTTGCATAAAGTTCACTGATTCAGTCAAGTCTCGACTTCTTCGTCTATGGCGAAATGCCATTATTATCAAGATCATGGGTAAGTCTTATACTCACAATTTCGTCTTTGGCCGTTTACAACAATGGTGGAGCATGCTCCAAGGGTGTTTCTCGCTAATCGACTTGGAAAATAACTTCTTTATTGTGAAATTTGTTCTAGAAAGTGATATGAAGAATATTTTGTGTGGAGGACCTTGGATTATTGCAGGACAATATTTGGTTATGCAAAAATGGAGAGCTGGGTTTGACCCTCATAGTGAGTCGATCAACCGTATGGCTGTCTGGGTGAGAATTGTTGGGCTACACGTTGAGTGGTTCAATCCGGAAGCCATGAAAAGAATTGGGGACCTCATTGGCACAACTCTTCGTGTTGATGCGCACACTGCCTCCCAAGTTAGAGGTAAATATGCTAGAGTTTGTGTTGAATTGGACTTAACAAAGTCCCTAATTGCTAATGTCAAAGTTGAAAACTGTTGGTATGTTGTGGAGTATGAGGGTTTTCACCTTGTTTGTTTCAACTGTGGCTGCTATGGTCATCGTCGTGAACAGTGTCCTTCTCTGATTAGGAAACAAGCTACAACTCCTGTTCCAGATGCAGAGACCATCCAACCTATGAATGAGGGGTCAGTTCAAGACCAAGTTATGAGCTCAAATGGTGGTAAATTAGATAAGAGTTGCCCTACTGAGGCTGGGAAGGATATGAAGATTCATGATTCTCCCTTGATTGGGCCATGGAGTATTGTGACATATAATCGTCGGACCAAGCCAACCAATAATTATGAGTTGGGCCAAAATGCCAGGAAGTTGAGTAATTCTGGCTCAAGATTCTGTCCTCTACATTTAGAGGATGTTGATCCGAATACTATTGATAAAGCTAAGTCTGTACATGGCAAGGAACATACACTGGAGAATACCATGGGATTTGAAAAGAAGAAACAAAAAAGAGGCAGACCTAGGAAGGCTCTAGGGGACAGCTCTAACAAGGAGAAGGGAGGCTCTAGTGGTTTTAGTATGGGGGCGGCTAGTGACAAATTAAATCTTGGAAACACCTTGTCCCTGCAGCCAAAATCCTATCTGAGGAAAACCAATGCCAAGTCTAAGATTGTCACAAATTCTTCCAACGGCGTCCAAGTTGATGGCATGGACATTCAAGAAAGTGAGTTGGGGGGCTTTAATTTTAATGTTGCTGATCCTCAAGCTGCTAATGACGCAGCAGACAGAAGTACTCAAATTTATGGGCATGAACCGCCGGATATTGATAAAAATGTTACGGATATGTCAGTTGAGAATTTGCTGGAGAATGGAAGACATGTTAATGATGGCCTTGTGTCTGTAGAGAAAGATAGGCTTCAAGAAGCCATGATCGATGTTCAAACTGGTGTGGTGGGTGCCACCTCTACTCTGGTAGAGGCGCCAATATCCTCATCTTGATTGGGTCCATACCTCAGGTATTCCATATCCTTACTGATTTTATAATGATTATGGTCTGGAATGTAAGAGGTGCTGGAGGGAAACCTTTCTCTGTTACTGCTAAAGATCTCGTCAGATTGAACAAAGTGAATATTTTTGCTATCTTGGAACCCAGGATCAGTGGTGAGAGGGCAATTGAAGTCATAAAAGGTTTGGGTTTTTCAAATTATTATGTTGTTGATGCCAATGGTTTCTCTGGTGGTGTTTGGCTTTTATGGAATAATGAGGTTGTGAATCTGACTGTTGTGGCTTGCTCCTCCCAAACAATCACTGCTGTTGTAATGGATGGCCAGATTCAGTGGATGCTAACGGTGGTGTATGCCTCCCCTTGCCCCCGGGTGAGGAGCCACTTATGGCCTTATCTTGATGGTGTTTCGGCAGCTTCTAAATTGCCTTGGCTTATTGCAGGTGATTTCAATGAATTGATTCATAGTTCAGAGAAAAAGGGGGGTAGGCCTGTTAATAAAAATAGTGGTCTTGGTAATTGGAGCTCTAGGAATAGCTTGGTGGACCTTGGGTTCATTGGTGCTAAATTTACTTGGAGCAAGAAAAATGAGCATGGTGAAATCGTCTGGGAAAGACTTGATAGAGGCCTTTGCAACATAGCTTGGAGACACATCTTCTCTGAGGCATATGTTAGACATCTTGCCAAAGTGAAATCTGATCATTGCCCCTTGCTTATTGGCCTTCATTCCAAACATATTCCTAACCCTGTTTTGAAAGCTTTCAGATTCCAAGCTATGTGGATGCTTCACCCGGATTTTGAACCTTTTGTTAATGATACTTGGAGTAGTGCTCAAGGTGATGCTAGGTGTAAAACTATCATTCTTTCTTCTGAGCTTCAAAGTTGGAATCACAATGTCTTTGGATGTATTTTTCAAAAGAAAAGAAGGCTTTTAGCTCGTATATGCGGAATCCAAAAGGCTCTTTGCATTTGTCATGTGCCGTATCGGTTTGATTTAGAAAAACAGCTCACCAATGAGTATAGTACTATCCTTGAGCAAGAAGAACTCTTTTGGCTTCAAAAATCAAGAAATACTTGGCTTAGGGAGGGAGATAAAAATACCAAGTTCTTCCACCTCTCTGCGGTGGTGCGAAGAAGGAAAAATAAACTTGAAGGCCTCAATAATTCTGAAGGAGTTTGGACTGATGATAAAGAGGCTTTAAAGTCAATTGTTGTCAACTATTTCAAAGATCTTTTCTCCTTTCGCATAACGACGACAACTATGGAGAATCTGCCTCACCTGTTCCCGTGTCTTATTGGTGAAGATTTACTTGTCCTAAATGGGGATGTCACCGATGATGAGATTAAAGCCTGTATGTTTGCTATTGGTGGGCTTAAGGCACCTGGACCTGATGGTATCCCTGCTAGATTCTATCAAAAATTTTGGCATCTTTGTGGCAAGGATGTTTGTGATATGGTTAAGGTTTGTTTCAATACAACTCAACTCCCTGACAACATTAATAACACATTCATCTCGTTGATTCCTAAGGTTGATAACCCTACAAGCATGACACAGTTGAGGCCTATCAGTCTGTGTTCTACGCTCTACAAGGTCATCTCTAAAATTTTGGTGGGTAAATTGAGGCCGTTTCTCCATAAACTTGTTAGCCCTACTCAAGTGAGCTTCGTCCCGGGTAGGCAAATTATTGATAATGTCATTGTTGCTCAAGAAATCCTCCATAAGTACAGAAACACCAAAGGTAAAAAAGGGTTCATTGCTTGGAAAATTGACCTTTCCAAAGCTTATGATCGTCTTCAGTGGAGTTTTATTAGAGAAGTTCTATGGGAGATTGGGCTAAGAGGGAAAATTTTGGAACTCATCATGCAATGCGTTACCACAGTCAATTACCAAACTATTGTTAATGGTGAGCTCACTGATTCTTTCTCCCCTCAATGTGGAATCAGACAGGGAGATCCCCTTTCTCCCTATTTATTTGTGCTTTGCATGGAAAAACTATCTCATATCATTAATGGATGCATCACTACTAAGAAATGGAAGCCAGTTAAGCTATCTAGCAATGGGCCTCCTGTCTCTCATCTCTTTTTTGCAGATGATCTTATTTTGTTTGCGGAAGCCTCCTCAACTCAAGCCAGATTACTGAAGGATTGTCTTGATATCTTTTGTGCCGTGTCTAGTCAGCAGGTGAATTTTGATAAATCATGTATCTACTGCTCTCCTAATATCTCTCGAAGTAAGGCTATTGAAATTGCCAACATCTGTGGTTCTCCTCTCACTTCTGATCTAGGACACTACTTGGGTGTTCTGTTACTGCATTCTAGAGTCAATAAAGAGACGTATGGAAACATTGTGGAAAAAGTTCAACGACGTCTCTCTGCGTGGAAGAGCAATACTCTCTCTATGGCAGGTAGGCTTGTCTACCTACAATCAGTTGCCTCAGCTATTCCAATCTACTCAATGCAATCTACTCGCCTCCCAGTTTCCATATGTGATAAAATTGATAAGTTGAACAGGAATTTCTTATGGGGTCACACTGAGGATAATTCCAAGATTCACCTTGTTAAGTGGGAGACAGTTTCCACGCCTAAATTTATGGGTGGTTTAGGCTTGAAAGATACTCATTTTATGAACCAAGCCCTCCTTGCTAAAACTGGTTGGAAACTTATGCAAAGAGACCCGGGCCTCTGGGCACAAGTTTTGAAGGGAAAATATCTCAAACACTACGACATGGTGGGTGCTTGCTCTGCTAAGTTCACTAATTGTTCTCATACTTGGCGTGGAATTCTCTTTGGTGCCCAAATCCTTCCTAATGGTATGAGATGGAGAGTCGGAACTGGAAGCCAAATTCATTTTTGGAAAGACAACTGGCTTGAGAGTGGCGTTCTCGAAAATTTTGCTACCATCCCTCTTTCAGCTGACATGCTTGAATGGACTGTTGAGGACTTCCTTACTGATGATGGTTGGAATGTAGATTTGTTATATTCCTGCCTTCCTCCTGATATTGTGGAACATATTTTCAGTTTACATGTTGGAATTGCGAATCATAGGGATGATAAGGTAATCTGGAGCCTCACCAATTCTGGAACCTTCTCCGTGAAAACTGCTTATCTCTCTCTCTTTGGCGATGATGATATCATTCCTTGGAAATGGAATTTCATTTGGAAACTCAAGCTCCCACCCAAATTAGTGACTTTTCTTTGGACTATTGGTCATGGGAAAATTCTCACCAATGTGCAGAGAGCTAGAAGAGGTTTTACTAATAACCCGTGTTGTCCAATCTGCCCTAATATTGAGGAATCAATGGATCATATTTTCAGGTCTTGTAGGCATTCCCCTTCCTTTTGGAATGGTGTTGGAATCCCTTCTGAAGTTGCCCATTCCTTTGCTCTTGATTTCCAGAGTTGGATGGCCATAAACCTTAGGACACACTGTTCTACCATTCATGGTTTACCCTGGAATCTAATCTTTGCTTCAACTCTCTGGTATTGCTGGAAAGGGAGGAACAATCTTGTCTTCAATGATGGTCAACAACCGCCTGTCTCACCCCAGAAGTTCATTTTTCAATTTGCAAGGGATTGGTATGATGCCAACAAGTGTTCTTCTAGTAAGCCTCCTAGACAAATCATCTCAATTCATTGGATCCACCCGCCAATTGGTAGATATAAAATCAATACAGATGGGAGTTGTAAGGACCCATTTAGGCACATAAGTGCTGGAGGTTTGATTCGCAATTCTGAAGGGGATTGGATTAAGGGATTTGCTGCTAATTTGGGCAGAGGAACCATCATGGAAGCTGAGCTTTGGGGTGTTTTCATGGGCCTTTCTATAGCTTGGGATGAGGGATGCAGGGATGTAATCCTTGAATGTGATTCCTGGGATGCTGTTATTTTGATCCAAAAACCTATTCTGGATTCGCACCCGCTCTACAACCTCATTATTGACTGCAAAGAAGCCATCGGAAAAAATTGGAGATGTGAAGTCACTCATATCTATAGAGAAATGAATGTCTCAGCTGATCATATGGCTGACTTGGGTCATGGGCTATCTCTTGGCCTTCATCTTTTTGTTTCTCCTCCTACCACTGCTAATAATTGTCTAGTTTCTGACTTTATTGGCAGGGCCCTCCCTAGGGCTGTTCTTGCCTGATTTTTTTCTATTTTGCTTGCCGGGCTTTGCCTCCCTTGTACCAAAAAAAAAAAAAATAAACTTAACTCAATTAGTTCTAATTAATTAAGCAGCTGATTTCTTTTCAATGAGCTTCTCTATCAAATCAGCTGCCTCTTGGACCGTGCTTATGTTCTCAGAACTCTCCTCCTCAACGCTAATATCAAACTCTTCCTCCAAATTCATCACTATCTCCACCTGTAACAAATCATCCAAATTAGTTCTTCGAATAAAGTATCAATATACTGGCGATATTCTTGAAACTTGATAGCGCTATTTGAGAACTTTGCTATGTTAATATGCATATAGAACATGAATTTGATAAATTTGGATAAGGAAATTGGACATACAGTGTCGAGAGAGTCGGCACCAAGTAATGCAAACTTGGAGTCGGGGGAGACTTCAGACTCCGGAGGCAAAGCCAGCTGCTCCCTCACAATCTCCACAACCTTTTGCATTGTCTCCGACTTGGCCTGTCCGTTTATGTGGTTTTAATATAACTTGTTACTCTCAAATTCGCAAGTAATCTTGCCTTGCAACCGATTTTAAACGAGAGAAATAGACAAATATTAATATACAACTGAGGATAATTGTCAATTTTTTGAGACACAATAACTTGTCAAGTTTGAGAAACTTACAGCGCAACAAATTTGGAGACAAGAGATCCTGAAAGATGAGAAGCCATTCTTGGCCCATCCATTAGAAACGAACTTTAAACTTGAACTTGTCCTTGTTACGTACATTATTAGTTCACAAGCAGATATTGCCTCATGTATTTTCACTTTTCAGCACATTTTATTGGTCTCAAAAACCATCCATTAGGCACATAATTCAAGAAATAATTCAGCACATTTTATCTGAGAGGCAGTACGACAACTTAGATGCAAGATTTTCTCTAAAACAGACCCAAAATTTTGAAGAGAATCCAAGTGAACAAAACGTTGACTTGAGTACACAAACTTTGGTATTAGTAGTACTAGGAGACCAAATGAGACCAAAATTATTGAAGACTTCAATGGGACAAGTTCATCGTCACTGTGGCATCTCGAGTAGTCAACGTAGACTTGTATTAGTGGTTTGGGACACTATAGTGATAGTGAAGACGTTCTATGAAAGTCTCCCTCAAAATTAATAGCAAGAAAGGTGAAACTAAGCGAAACCCTGGTACCTGGCTAGTCTTGATTGGTTGGTTTTGAAAGGTTGGAACCTGCAGAGAGAAGTTGCTGAAGCAGAAGCCATTGGAGCTCACAAAATCGAAACACAAAAACTTGGTTACTTGAAACAGAGATATGGTGAAAGTCAGCTAAATTATCCTATTGGAGCAGAGCCCTATCTATTACTTACGTGGCAGATACTCGGACATCATGGTGGGTTCCCAAAAGCCAGGTACTAGTTGCCACATGGGACAAATTAACGGAATTGGATCCTCTTCGAGCCTCGGGATCCTCTTAACCCACTAACATGGGTCGTTGGATTTTGATCTAACAGCTATAATTATTATAACTTTTAAAGAGGCTCCTCTGTTTGTAGTTATTGAATCAAAATCCAACGGCTTGTATTATTGGATTAGGAGGATTCCAAGTATTTGCCTCGGAGAGGATCCAATTCCCAAATTAACGACTAGGCATCCAGCACTAGTTAATCCTTTTAGTTCTTTTTTATTTTACTTATTTTATTTTTATTTTTATAGCAAAAATCTTTTTAGTTTAAGGCTTATTATATTAATATCCCACAAATTGTTAAATAAACCTCACATACTAAATACACCTCACATTTGCTTTTTCAATAAAAAAAAATCTTAATATACCCTACATACTTTCCTATAATACCCTCACACCCCACGTTCTCAATATACACCTTACATTTTTACATACAGCCCATATTTTCTATATACCCCACATTTCTCAAATCTTATAAAGCTTTTAATTTGGACAAAAAATGCTGACTGTAATTTTGACAAAAGATGCCGCCTAGGATTTAAAGCATATGTAGGTTGTTTTCAATTCCACCATCAAAACCCATGTTGTTTGTTTTTAATATTTGGTGGTAATTTTAGGTGTTTAATTCTTTATGTAATCCATGTGATCCCTAAAAGATGAATACGAACATAGAAGCTTGAATAATGCAACAAAAGCAAGATTAAATAATTATCAATGTCGTCAAAATCACTAAAACAATAAAAAATATGAAGTCTTACCTCATGTGAATCTTCCAAAAGGACAACAACTTAATTACGTTGACTCTTTTTTTGAATGAGAGATATTGATAAAACAAGAGCAGCGGTTACATAAGAAAAGGGACCCCAAAAAAACATGAGGATCCCAGTAGCAAGTAAAGACCCTTAAAAGGGCAGTGGACCTAAAGGTGGATAATGAAGACCAGGAGCACGACTCGAGCCACCATCTAAGGGCCAGGAACCAAAGATAACATTAGTGGGGGCAAGGTTGGCCATCAATGGACAAGATATGGACCAAAGCGGATGGAGGTTTGGTAACCTAGATTTTTGAACACATCCTTCTTTTACAATGTGACGCAACCCAATCGGCTGCATAATTTGCTTGGCAAGGAACCTAACATCACTTAGAGGAGGAAAAATAGTGACGAAGATTCCAAATTTGACGAAGAAGGGAAAAAATATACCAGTTGGCTTTCCTTTTATCCCTATTAATGCTAGCTACCAGAGAGGCTGAGTCAGACTTAAAAATAACATCAGTGATGTTATTTTGGATAACCGTCTGAACAGCCATGACCGCAACTTTAGCCTCCTCTTGAAATGCAAAAGAAGATGTACCACTCCCACAATTCCCAGCCACCAACAAACCAGATGTATCCCTAACAACAACTCCAAAATCTACCGAACCTAACTGTTTGGACCAGGAGGCATCACAGTTGATTTTCAACATTGAGACAGAAGTGAGTGTCCAAGTGGTAGATGAAGCTGAACCCGGAGAAACTTGAAAAACTACATCAGGATTGGCTGACCAAAATTCCTCCATCGTCGAACATACCTTATGAACAGTAAGAGCAGGGGTATGATGTTTTCGTTAAAGTTAGAATGGCATCTAGCTTTCCAAATTTCCCAACAAATAAAGGCAACCAAGGAATTGGCTTCAGTGAAAAAAAAAGAAAAAAGATAACTCTAAGAACCAGCAGCCAAAAGAGGAAATAGCTTGGGCATTTACCTTAAAGCTAAGAGGAGAAGCAAACTAACCACCTTGGTCTAAGGACAAAGGAGGATACAATGCTCCGTGGTCTCTGGCATATCCAAATAGAAAGGACATTAGATTATCTCGAGCATGGCGTTGGAACAATCTTGACATCGTTAGAAGACAATTGTTAGCAATTCTCTATAAAAAGTATTTGATCTTAGGCAAGACACGGAGGCCCCAAATGATCTTCCAAAAATCCGGTTGAATGTAGTGTGATTGATGAGCCTTATCCTACAAACCAAGAAGACTCGCTCTCTTAGAATGTCTAAAGTCATATCCAGACTTAACTGAATACTCCCGTTATTCTGACCAAGGCCAAATAAGGCGATTAGCTGAAGAAAGATCTCCCAACAATGTACATTCAATAGTAACACATTCCTCTACATAAATAAGTGAGCGCATTAGAGCTAAATTTTAATCGCCCGTGGTGGAGTTGATAATCTCTTGAACCATGGAGGGGTTAGTGGCAGGGATCGAAGGTGGAGGATGGGAAATACCATCTCCAAAAGAAGTAAGCCATTTATTCTACCAAATATTAACAACCATCCCATTACCAACCTGCCATAAGGCATCTTGAACAATTAAATCTTTATCGTGAAGCAAACTACTCGAAGCCCATGAGGCCCTTGAACCTTTGGAAGCATTCAGAGCATCGCCACAAGGAAAATATCGACCACGAAGGATGTGGGCCCAGAAAGTAGTGAGATTATTAATGATCCCTCAATATTGTTTGGCTAGTAGAGCAACATTAAAATCATATAGGCTTTTGAATCCAAGATCCCCAGAAGATTTAGGAGCAAAAACCATCGTCTAGTTGCGCCAATGGATTTTATTCTCCCTGTCTTTCTGACCCCACCAAAATCGAGCAATCAAAGAGTTAATTTCCTAGCTAAAAGTGACAAGAAAAATGAAGCAATTCATCGGGTAAGTGGGAATAGCCATTGCCATTACTTTGGTCAAAACCTTGTGGCCTAAAAGAGAAAGAGAGGCATGTTTCCAGCTTTGAATTTTTTGAATTATCTTGTCCATTACAAACCCTAGTGCCGCCTTCTTAGTTTGACCCCAGATAGTTGGAAGACCAAGACATTTACTTGGATCCAAATAAGAAGGCATATTAAAGATGTTACATTCCTCATTAATGATATGCGGAGAGGAGTTGGCAGAAGAGACAATTAAAGACTTCTGTTGGTTGATGGTTTGACCCGAAGTCTTGCAGTAAATGTCTAGAATGTTTTGCAAAGCCCGACAGTTGCCCGTATCCGCATTAATAAAGAAAAGAGAATCATGAGCAAAAAATAAATATGACATAGTAGGGCAAGAGAGGCCCCAAAGAATACCTGACAGCGATCCGTTCATACAATTATTGGCAATTAAAGCAGATAGAGCTTTCGTAACAAACAAAAATAGGTACGAAGTCAATGGATCCTCCGTCGAAGACCCCGGCATGAAAAAAAAAAGAGTCATCAGATTTCCCATTAAAGGAGACAGAAAAAAGGCACTAAAAATGAGTCACCAGATTTCCCATTAAAGAAGATAGTAAAAGGCACTATCTTAACAAAATTCATAACCAAGGAGATCCATCGAGGATGGAATCCAAGACAGAAAAGTACAGCCTCAAGAAAATCCTATTCCACCCGGTCATAGGCTTTATTCATATCGACTTTCATTCCCAGTTTAGACCCATGCTTTGTTTTCTTATTTTTAAGATAGTGGAAAGCCTCATGTGCCACAAAAATATTATCTTGAATTTGGAGACCTGGAACAAAAACACATTGGTGATGAGAGACAAGGCCAGAAAGATTCATTTTTAATCGGTTTGTTGTGAGCTTGGAGAGAACTTTATAGGAGAAGTTACACAGACTAATCGGACGAAATTAGGAAATTTGTTCCGGATTGGGAACTTTTGGAATCAGAACCAGATTTGTGGAATTTAAAACTTGTGGGAAACTATCTTGTCCAGAAAATTCAGAAATCACACCCGCCATGAGATAATTAATAGTATCCCAACAGTGTTGATAGAACATACCGTGAAAGCTATCTGGCCCAACAACTTTTAAACCACCCAACTCATGAACCGCACCTTTGATATCTTCCAAAGTGAAGAGTTGAAGCAATTCACTGTTGATAGCATCAGAGACTACTAAGGTGAGACTAGCCAAAGTCGCCTCAAGAGGGCTGAGAGCCTTCAGGTGTGGAATTTTTTTTAAGAAACCATTAATATGGTTCTGAATCTCCATATTACCAGTGAGCTAGTTATTCTCCTCAACTTTAAGGCTCAAAATGCTATTCCGTTGTTGACGATGAATGGTAGTTTTGTGAAAAAAAAGAAAGAAAAGAAGAAGATGTATTTCTATCTCCATCCTTAAGCCATGAAATTCTCAATCGCTAGAGCCAATAGAGTTCTTCCCTCCTCCAGGCCTCAGCCAACAAGAAAGTAGTAGACCTAGCCACTTCCTTTCTTATCGACGGAATAACTTGGTGCTCGTTAGACTTGAGCTTAGACAACAGCCACAGTTAATTGTCTTTCAATTATTTTTGAATTTTTTACTCCAAACCCCAATTTTTTCCTTACAATTATCAATATTAGAGAACCAAGACGAAAATAAGGTGCCATCCACATTATCATTCCAAGCTTCTTTTACAACAGACAGGAACTCAGGATCCCGGACCCAAGATAATTCCAAACAAAATGGCCTAGGGCCAGTACATAAAGCAGAAGAAAAATGAAGAATCAGATAATGATGGTCGGACCCGACAAAAGGGTCGTGATAGAGAGCCGCAGCAGGCCAAGCCTCTAACCAAGTATCATTTGCAAGAAGACAATCCAATCTTTCTTCGATTCTACCTAACTTCTCCCAATCCCTTTTCCAAGTGGACTTAGGGCTTGAAAAACCAATATCCACCAGAGTAAGATGAGTATTTTTTTTTAGTACATCGATATTTTTACACTAGGGAAATGGAGAGTTCGGTTAAGCCACACAATGGGCAACCTAATTTGTATCGAATTCGCCATCCATGAGATTCGAACCTAAGACCTCTCACTTTCACGTGAAGAGGAATACCATCAAACCATAGTA